TTTACATACATACATACATGCATACATATGGTGAATAAAATAACTAATTTTTATAATCTTATTCAGAAGGCGTGTCAACAATGTTGTAACCTGATCTCATAACTATTATTTGTTATCAATTCACATGACATCCAGCCTTCCTTCACCGGATCCGTTGGATGATAACATCGGCAACCAATTCACATATCTATAGGTCAAATATCATTCCAGATTTAGAAAATGCCACGTAATGACAGTCAAGGGGAACCACAGTACCGTTGTGCGACAATATTTCCCCTTTTGTTTTTGTGGTCGCATTGTCCTGACGCTATGCATATCTATTTGTGTCGACATTTTCATTTTCCGCAGACAGTCGTTCTTATTTCGCAATCATCTCAATCCAGATTTTAAAACTATTTATATGCAAGCCACACTCAAATGCTGAGCTTACCGTCAGATGACACGTCAAGTATTCAACGAAAATGTCTGTAAAGAGTAAAAATGAATTTCGTGTAAACTTCAAATACTGAATATACTAAGGGCAAATTACGAAAAGACGTAACATTTTCATATGTTTGTACGCAAATTATTCATTCAAGTTCGGCGGAAAATCTACATTGACATATGTACATTGTCAGTAATAAAAATATAAATGAAATTGTATTTGTATGTACATACACCGTGCTGCACGATATTGAATCGTCTTCTTCTTCTTGAGGGACTTTGGGGTATCCTAGTGGCAAAGCAATGTGTGAAGCTCATTTCTGGTATCCCTGGCCGTGATATTGCTGGACTATTGCTAAAAGTGGCGTTAAACTAAATTCACTCACCCCTTTCCGTCTTCGTTATTAATTCTGGATTATTAGAATGGTACATGTACAATGTAGGAAATTCGTGTTTTCTCATCCCCACCAACTCAACATACACAGAATGGCATACACGCAGAAACAAACAAGCACACACACACAGACACACAGAGAGAGAGAGAGAGAGAGAGTGTGTATATGAAATAAGTACATGAGATATAGTCCAGATCCACATGTTTCGCCGCTCAACAAACAAGCACACAGAGAGAGAGAGAGAGAGAGAGAGAGAGAGGAGGGAGTGTATATGAAATAAGTACATGAAGAAGATATAGTCCAGATCCACATGTTTCGCCGCTCAACGGCTCTCCAAGTGCACAATGGTTTTCATTGTACAGCTCTTAAAAAGATATATACATGTATATCTGACGATGTGAAAAACATATGGCTAGAACTAAAGTGAACCTATGATGCTAACGTAAAGCTACATGTTATAACAACTGAACCTGGTATGGTATACTGTACCCTATCTAGTAGAATGTCCGAATCACGGAAAACCACACTATAATGAAGTCTTTTACGGTGAAACCCTAAGATTACGGATCACGAAAAAAAACAATACTTTCTTCTCAATACGAATATTACGGCGACGTAATACACTACAGCATATACTTAAAGTATGGTCTTCCTCTTCAAGTGGGAATACGTATCATACGCAGTTGCTACAACGAGTAGGTGGGTCGTTCAGACGGTAAGTCACCACACTGTTTGTATGCTCTTTGATAAAATCCCTAAGTGATCCCTAAGTACATGAGAGTCCACGGACACCTTTCTCACTCACAGATGGGGTTGTTGATGTGTCCAAGCAGTTGAAGCGCTCGCTCCTCACGCTGATAGCGCGGGTTCGTTTCCAAGCAAGGTTGCAGTGTCCAAAGTCCATTATGATGTGATAATATTGCTGGTGTATAACTACTCACTCACTCTATTCATTCCGAGGAGACATTCGTTCCGGGATAGTGGATTTACGAAGGTATACAGTACCCATGATTTCGATAATATTCGGATGGTTTGTTTTTTTTATACATGCATGCAAAACTCCATTCCACTTTATCGTTAATTAATAAATGTCCTAATGCATAATAAAATTTCTCAACCTGTTCCATCCCCGCCGATGCGAACGTCAATTACTCACTCATCCACGACAACACCGACCATAACCACCTGAACTGAACTGAACTGAACTCAGGCCGCAGACAGCGGCATATGAGGTTACATCTGTTACAAATACATACATACATACATATATATATATACCTTTTGATGAATGTTCTACCGCAGATAACCACACTTGCCTATACGTATCTTCTAGCTTACATTTAACTGTATTTTTTAGTTTATTCAGGTTTTCAAAATTTTGGGAATTCCAGATATAACTAAGTCCAATTTCGTCAAACGTATGTTTAATATTCATTATCCATTTTTTGCTTACTTTTTCCAAAATGCGTGTCGTTAAAAAGTAATTTAAAGATAAGTAAGGATAATTTGAAAGATTTACCTGTTGAAAGTCGACCCCAAAACGAAATAATTCTCAATTTCACATCAATTGCAAGTGGGTATCTACCAAATTCCCCATACAACATAAAGTTTGGGGTGCTTTTTCTTAACAGTGCTAATTGTTTAAGAAAGTTTAAATGTACCTTTTCCAATAATGATGTATTTTCAAATCCCCAAACCTCACAACCATATAGAAGAATCGGCAATACCATGGAATCATATAGACGTAATTGTAATTCGTATGTTAGATGCAGTTTCCAACCTTTGCTAAGAATAAAATACATTGCTTTTGTGGCTTCTTTTTCAACAGCTGTTTCTTTTGTTAATGTAAATCTTCTGCTATTTTGGAAAACTACGCTGTATGAACATTGTCCAGAACGTTATTTCCAATTTTAAATGGGATTTTGTAATCTTTCTTTGAACCGCCAAATATAAAATCTTTTGTTTTAGCAATATTGACATTAAGTTTCGATGTGAAACAATAGGCATGAAAAGAATCCAACATTTGCTGAAGATCGTTGGGGTTTGAAGCCAAGAGAACTGAATCGTCTGCATATAATAATACAAACATTTTGATGATATCTTCTAACCTATCATTAAAATCTTCATGTTTAAGCTCCACACCTGTACAGAAATCTTTATCAAAAGACATTTCAATATCATTCATAAAAATAGCAAATAATGTGGGTGATAAATTCTCTCCTTGGCGTACGCCAGATCGACAGGGAAAGAAGTCCGTAAAACCATCTCTACATAATATACAAGATTTTATATTTCTATACATGTTGTGTATAACTCGGAAACATTTACCAGAAATGTTATTTGCCAGAAGCTTTTGCCAACGGCCCACGCGCCAAACGTTATCAAAGGCTTTTGGGAAATCCACAAATGCACAGTAAAGTTTCTTTTTTCGGCATTTTAGAAGTTCTGAAAGGTTAAACGAAATGAAGATGTGATCGACTGTAGAATAACCTTTTCTAAAGCCGGCCTGAGCCTCTGATAAAATATCATTATTTTCTAAACATAATTTTAGTCGATTACTTAATAATGACGTAAAAAGTTTGCCAAAGCAGCTTAATAGAGTAATTGGGCGGTAATTTTCTGGATTTCTTGGTTTTCATTTCCTTTTATATATCGGTTTAATAACGCCTGTTAACCAGCTTTCAGGGAATATACCACAATCAAATACAATATTAAAAAATATTGCACGAAACCACTTTTTCACAACTCCACGTGTTTTAACGGGTCTGTAAGCACCATAAACATTCCCTAAAGCTTCCTGTCAACATAAATTAAATATACGTAAAGTAGATCTGTCAAATAGCTAAGATACACTAAATTGTGATTGGATTTACCAGAGATACAGATAAGCTGCGTATCCGCGTAAAGTACGCAAATATATATGTGAAAACTCAATTCCTATTAAGCCTAGTGCGTACAAGTACGCTTGGATTTTTGCAAATACTCAATAAATATGATCTTACGTGCGTACACAAAATGTGATGGAAGTTACTCAGGATGGATAGAATAACTGAGGCATATTGAGAGGTTCTATTTCAGCACATGAACTTGGCAACTTGCAGTCTTTCTTATCGTTTCTTATATTAACGATTAATTAATGGAAAATGGCAAAATACCAAATTGAGTTTATGTGAGGTGGGTACAATGTATTTGCTTTCTCAGAGGAAACTTATGATACCCAATTGCGATTAACAAAAGCGAGTACATAACTCAACGACCCAAAATGTTATCTGTAGTTCTGATTTACTTTAGGTAGAACTTTCAGTTGCAATTAAGTTTTGACAATTAAGCAAGTGATTTACAGTATTTTAGTAACATACGCGTGAATATTCTGAATTCAATTTTATTGCCAAAACACACAGACTGTATTGTATTCATTCAATTGTCATATCCTTAAAAGAAAGCAAAATATACAGGATAAGACATGATTTCAAACATAACAGTTGGGGAAGCACTGTGTGAAGTACTGCAGTGACAGGAAAAGCCTCAACCCATCGCGAGGTTTACAAATACTCATTTATGTAGAGAACACAGTTTCAAGTATTCAAGTACCGGCCAGCCAGTACAAACAACATTGATCATATTTACTTTTACGTTATGACTGACGAAGGAATAGTTACCACTATATCTCCAATATAATCCAGATCATTATCCAAGAATATGCCTTGGGCGTATACTGGGGTGTAACCGGGAAGCTATCTAACCCCTCTCTTTTTCTTCACGGAAGTACACAATCATTCCAGTTTCGTTAGGTTTGTTCTACTACTACTACTACTACTACTACTACTACTACTACTACTACTACTACTACTACTACTACTACTACTACTACCATCACCACCACTACTGATGATGATGATGATGATGATGATGATGATGATTATGGTGGTGATGAGTCCTCTGGAACTATAAATAACTTAAACTACTAGCGTAACACTATAACTACAAAGAGCAGCATTCACAAATAAGGACGTGAAAGAGTCAAAGCATATTCACAGATTTTATTAAAAATAAATTATCAGTCAATATCATAATCAATCAATCAGTCATAATATAACATCACGTCATGTCGTATTCTGATTATCAAAGATCAAATAATAAAAAAACGTACACCTTTGAGGTCAAAGTTCGTAGATTGATCAATAATAGATTGATCAATAATGTACATAACCACCAGACCATATCAGTGAACATAAATGCAGGCACATCGTGGGAATATTTATCAAAACGAAAAACACAACTGTAACAAGAATTATTTACAAATCATACAGTCATCCTCTCAACAACATCTACACAATCGAAGGTTTGCGATTCATGAGTGATTGACTGCCGATAGTGGAAGTAGCCAAGGGGCAATACTCACTCCCTGCTTGTCCTACTATGACGTGAAGGCGATCATAAGTCTCGCCTTTGCTATGCCGGTAATGAATTGTTAATGTATATGTTCAATCATAGTTGACAGCTCGGGCGTAAAGAGGCAGTTTGTAAGGATCACGGGACTCTTTTGTGACGTTTATTACTCTTATGAACTCTTTGATCTACTCTGAAGACTGGCTGGACAGTGGTCATCATAACCAAGGCTGTACACCTCCAACTTGACCAATACATAATCTATGTGATGGCACACCATTCGTTTGTTTGACTAATCTAAATCTCTTTCCGTCTTGTTATAAACTGTATCGAAATCATTTTAAACATCACGATTCTCTTATTATATTTCTAGTACAAACTGTTCATTTTAACCAAATTGTGATAAGATTATTGATCTATTTCATTCTATTTATATTGATGGATTACTCAAAATTGAATAACTGCAATACGCATGACTGTCAAAGGGTGAAATGTACATATCGACAGGTGTGATTCTAACAGAACAGTATATAAGAATATAACATACTTTCATGAAACGTTTCAGAAGATTTCATTATTAACAATTATCCCAATGATGTAGTTTATTGATGAGATATGCATGGATGATTGAGATAGTGGAATATTTTGTGCTCTGGTCTACCGCTTAGGAAAAAATCATCCTTCGTTATATCCTTAAATGTATTCGACGTATCTTGCCTTTCAAGTAAAACAATGGACACGTTCCGTCAGAAATGGTGATCTTCCCCTGATTTATCCAGAGTGACAGCCCGTTTGGTCTGAAACTCCGTAAGCACCACGAAATAAAGGGAAAAAAACAAATATACCAATGATTCAATAGGATGGGCATTGAGCAAAACAAATATACCAATGATTCAATAGGATGGGCATTGAACAAAACAAATATACCAATGATTCAATAGGATGGGCATTGAACAAAACAAATATACCAATGATTCAATAGGATGGGCATTGAACAAAACAAATATACCAATGATTCAATAGGATGGGCATTGAACAAAACAAATATACCAATGATTCAATAGGATGGGCATTGAACAAAACAAATATACCAATGATTCAATAGGATGGGCATTGAGCATCCCGGACTGTATGTTGACCAATACATGACACCAACCTCCACATGACAGCAGTCTAATTCTAGCAAAACAAGGAGGCAAGGTTTATCATCATACTCAAAACAAAAACTTGAAATAATTTATACAATTTTGACACAGATATGCCATATATTTTACAGCAAGTGAACAAAGCGTAAATGCATTTGCTCGCATAGGCCACAACAAGAAACTACCTTATACTTCGTTATTATCAACATGAGAAGGTGGGCAGATATAATTAGACATAACAATTTGGAAAAAGTAAAGTTTATTCACCATGTGAATTTTTGTGGTGCTTAGCTGGTGTCAGCAGCCATGTTAAGAAAAAGGTATAACATCATAGTAAACAGAGTGATGCGCCCTTGATTTTGAATAATTTACATGAAGAATGATCTTCGATGAAAAGAAAACTTTCATTTTAAGCGTAATTTATTTGTTATGGCCGCAGAGCGTTGTGAGTTAATGGGTACTATGAAACATTAACCAAAGAACCAAACGTACTCAAATTAGAATGGTGACTGTAGTTTACACACCATGAATAACGGGATTTTCTGAAGATGTTGATTTCATAACAAATATAATATGACTGTTCCTTCAGCGATAGTGAGTATATGACCGAAAACACCAGTACCGTATACTAGTGGAGAGTAATTTTGATATCATTTCAAAACTGTATTTAAAGATATTACGACAGCCATGATAATACCTCATTACCTCAAAGTCGTTTAAACTCATTATGTATCTCCGGATTGTTTAACGTCACCTTGACGTGAACTTCTTTTAAAGGGTGCTATCGAACGACAATCAAAGGCTGGCAGATCTGATATAAATCATGACGTGGCCACTTCACAATAGCATGACGTCACTAAGTAGCAGGATAACAGTTTCGTTGGGGAATAAGCAGCGATCTGGATGTTTCGTTCGATTACTACCTTTACAGCCGAGATACACTGTTACGACTTTAAGGTGTTGAGTTATCTCCGTAAACTGTCAAGTTGGTTGTTTCATAGAACCCAGTTTGCACATGAAATTATGTTGTTAAGTCCTCATAGAGGATACATGAAAAAATCTAACTGATTATTTCTCTTGTAGCAAGCAGGCTCAGTCCGAATAAGTATACCTCACAGATATACTATATACAACTCGGCCCGTTCCTACTCGTGTAAAACCGTACACACGACAGTGTAGATATCACGTCACTGAACCGGTTCACACTGGCATGGCGGAATAGTACAGCCATGTTGGCACTTTTTCTGAATGCCAAGGGACACCTTTGACAGAACCCAAAAACATACAGAAAAATAGTACCCGTAACCGAATGATGCATGTCTTAAACGTGCATCCGGGATGTGCAAAGTCTAGAAGACTGACATGTGATCTGTAAGCAGCCGTATCTTGGTGCTTACAGAACGCATGTTTGCAATGAATGTTTGACTAGATGACTTTCGAGTTAAAGTATCGGTCATACATAAATGACGTCATCTAATATGACGTATGGGGAGGGTAATGGGACTGTGACGTCACCGTGCTGGATACTGTTCTAGAGTACATGGTCATCGACGGCTGGGAGAGGTATTGCCACACCTGTGCCCCCGGGCCGAACTTGTAAACCAGCTTCCCTGGAACGTGTTCCAGGACGTTGTGTGTATAATAGTACCTGCAACAAAAAAGAACAGTATGACACATGTGAGACATGGAAGACATGAGGAGAACGTGAGATACTGGAGACATAAGAAGCAAGTGAGATACTGGAGACATAAGAAGCATGTGAGATACTGGAGACATAAGAAGCATGTGAGATACTGGAGACATAAGAAGCATGTGAGATACTGGAGACATAAGAAGCATGTGAGATACTGGAGACATAAGAAGCATGTGAGACATACAAGACATGTAAGACACAAGAGACATGGTGTATGAAAGACATGATATGAGAATTTAGGTATCAGTAATCTATTCATAATTATAATTGTCAACGCTTTTTCCCCTCTTAAGCCAAATGAAATCTGTGTTGTCGTCCTTTCTCTGGCTTATTTCATACTTCATTTCTTGATGTATGAAGGCATGCACAATGACTTACAACCATCCATATCATTGATGCTGCACAGAAGCTTAATTATTGGAGAAATTGGTTGACCCGGACTTCAACCTTTGTTCAAGTGCTGTTCCGGGGTAGGGTACATGGAAGAGCGTAGAATAGTGAAATGAATCAGATATAAAGTGGAACTGTAGGAAATGTTGAGGACACTGAGAGAAAAGAGAAGTAACGTTATTAGATACAGAGAACAATGGTGCAGATTCCCAAAACATTAAAAAACAAACTTGTTTGACTCCAGTACTTGATTTATGATATTTGCACGTCTGACAATCACTGCTACTTAGATTAAACTGAATCATGACATGTGTCACGTTGGCGTTACATATTTCATCGTGTTTTAAACCCTTACAATCGATGTTTTCTACGTGGTGGTAAATGCCGCGGATAACAGCTATAAAACAAATATTTACAAATGGCTCGGTTGTCGCGATTTACAATTCATTTGATTTGTAACGTAAGGGGTTACAGACAGAAAACGCCAGACACTACACAGATTTTGATATGTGGGTAAACGTCTCTGTCTTTTGTTGCACAGTGACGTGTTTTAAGCGACTGAGGACATGTTTAATGTATCTACCGTATTCGATGTAATATAAGTGTAACGTTCCTTTAAATATTCTTGGAGATGATGTGGCATTAACATTCATGTCGCTCGCCGCACAAGCGCACGAAAAAGGGTTTTGAGTATACACGTTGAATGACTGGGTCCTGTCGCGATTAAGGAACTCGAAAGCGAACTGCGTCATAAACATGTTGGCCACCCTCGCCTTTCTTCCTCGCCGCATAACCGAGCAACATTTGATTGTGAGTACACCTTTACTAGCGGATCCTTGTGCGACCACGGGACTTAATAGAAACAGCAAACCACGCAATAAACCATTTGGCCACCCATGCTGTAGGAAACAAATATCAAATTTGAAAAAAATGCATTTTGGTACTCACCTCAACCCTCTGCTAAGCTTCTCGTAGTTCATACTCTTGTTCCCCTTAACGTGGCCCCAGAGCTCCGCTAGTCTGGGAGGGTCTATGAGCCGAAAGATGCCTTCCTGGCGGTTGACCCAAACGATATGGGAGGGGTTGTAACGTGAGTCTTCCAAAAGGTCAAGGATGAACTTCCACAGCCGAGGCTGACCTTCTGAAATAAACACATAGTCTGGTAAAGCGGGAGATAAACGAACAGTCAGTAAACGGCATCTACACTAGCATAGAAAACACAATACAATAGCATTTATATGTGCATTTAGTGTTGTTGTTTTGCTTGTTTGGATTTTATTTGATTGTTTTTGTTTGGGTTTTTTTCGCGGTTTGGTTTCCTGTTTAACACCGTAATCGAGGCAATACGACGAAGTATATGACCCGCCATTACTAACATCAGCATCCAGCCACATAAACCTCGATGACGAGGAATCAACCAGCACTGACCATCCGATTCGTTTTGTGGCCCCTTACAAACAGAGGCTAATGGTGACCTAAAGTTGCCAGCGGGATTCCCAGCATAAAGACATTTAAACTGGACTTGATAACTTGTTTGATCCCTCGATCATTTATTATGGTTTTTCCCCGACGAGGGAAACAAGTACCGTTTCCTAACATATTTGGGTGTAAAGGAGCCGAGGATCGAACTATAAGTGTTCTGCTCTCCAAGCAAACGTTCTCACCATTAGGGCGGTGGGGTAGCCTAATGGTTAGAGCGTTGGCTCGTAACGCCGAAGACCCGGGTTCGAATCCCCACATGGGCACAATGTGTGAAGCCCATTTCTGGTGTCCCCCGCCGTGATGTTGCTGGAATATTGCTAAAAGCGGCGTAAAACCAAACTCAGTCAGTCAGTTCTCACCATTACAACCAATGAGGCAGTGTAATACGGTAGGCTGTCTTGCTACCAGTCCTGTGTGTAACGAGATATTCACATATAACATGTGTATTCCCCCAGAGGCCCCTGGGACGGTGTCACAATACATAATTGTGCACTACTGTTGAGAAGAATGTAAGTCGTTCCGCTCCATACACACCGGCCCAGTTCACTCACTGTGGACACCTAAACTGGGCTCGTAGCTAATCACCGTTGAGCAAACGAAAAGAGGATTTTGATTGGCCCGTTTGGCCAGTAGGGGAACTCCCGTCACTTTTATCGGTGCTATTTCATTGTTAGTTGGAAAACTCAGATTTATTTATAGAATCTGTATTTAGGTCACCTCAGTCACGATTCCCAGTTGAAATGTAAACAAATGTGCGGCTTGGCCACGTGAGCACAAGACCACGTGACATGTAATTACAGGTGAAGCAACACGTAGCCAGCAGAGGAAGAATTTTTCAATTATAATTCCTGATCACTGGCCAATCTAAACTGCCAATGATACACGTGCAACGTTTCCTGGTGCGTAAGGTCCTTTATAAATGAGTTAACAATTGTATTTATAAATACGTAATGTAAACACCGACAATCCAATGGTGCCGAATGGACCAGTCGTGGCCAATGAGGACGAAGTAAAATACATTTATTGAAATATAAAGTTCACAGTGCTGTTAAACGTAACTGTTAAACAGATCGTTGGCTCCTATACATAGATTTCTGACCCCGGTCACTTTGGACGCACGCGCACACATACACACACGCACACACAAACACAAAAGACATACATATATTATTCATCCCTTTTAAGTGTGCAATTGTATACTGAGACCAACTGACCCAAATTTATGTCAACTGCGTCTCAAGTTTATGTTTATGGGTTTTTTTTATGTTTTAAGGCTAACACGAACACATTAATCCTAAGATAACGGTTTTGCAAAATTTGTATAAATAACGAAAGTGGAATTTTAAAAATTCATGCCCTCTTCAGGATGTAATGTGTATGTTCTGACTGCGGGCAAACACGGGTCAACATTTGGCATTTCACGCGAACACGCTAAATTTCAACGTGGAGATTGTACGTACGCTTCAAGTACCGTATATTCTAAATGTATATTATTGGTGTACAGGAGTTACGCCCCCTTAATGAATTCGTCGTATTGTAATAGCTGGCACACTGTTAAACGTTCTGCGGTGTGTTTTTGTCAATTTCAAATTGTTTGTTATATGGTACTCTTCTACATTTAGAAATAGAAATACCATTCCTCGTTTCTACTTTGATACTTCCGTATGAATGTTTGTAAAATAAGTATGCATTAAAAGCTTACATTTTAAACTGTCAACCAATCTCGAAGGGTATATACCCTGTGCACGAGGCTTAGCTCACACAAACCGTACATTACACTATAAGCTATGAATGATCGGGTGACAACGAACATATCCTATTTAGTCATACAATTGATTCAGTCATACAGCTCCACAATGGATCTCCGCGGGTTACTTCCCTTTACCCACTCCACAGGGATAAACCTCTGGTCATGTCAGAAATCTCCTTAATTAATGTAAGATAAGCAAGCGATCTAGGACTGATTGCTTCAATGAATCTATGCAAAAGGGCACTAAAATACACTCTTCCGATTGGTCAAGGTGTACAGTTTCGTTTAGTTTATTTAAAATACACTCTTTCGATTGATCAAGGGGTACAGTTTCGTTTAGTTTATTTAGAGAGTAGTTGTCGAGTACAGTAAACTTGCTGAGCGTCACATGGACATTTCTTCTACAGGACATTCGGAAGCTGAAAATATGTGTGCTACTCGGGTGTTTGGGCGTCACCCTAATCAGGCCAACAGCTACTAAAGGTCGTCGTGGAAGAAGAAATAGCGCCCTAAAAAGAATTATTGAGAAAACAGTAAAATTAATCACCTTGAGACGTTGCTCCAGGATCCTGCACGTAGCTTTGACCTTGACCTTGCTGATATCCCATATCCATGAGCATTGGAGGAGAGGAGAGGTGGTCTGGATTCTCCATAATGGGAAAGTAGAACTCCGTCGCTGACTGTGACCCTTGACCAGAGAAAGGAGGGCTTTGACCTCCGTATGGAGAGATTTGACCTTCAAATTGTGGGCTTTGACGTCCAGGTTGATGACCTTGACCCATTGGTGAAGATGGCATTTGGAATCCTGGCTGCCTTCTCTGCGTGAAATCATGACCTTGACGCCGAGAAGGTGAGTGACAAGTTTCAATCTGGGGGTTGCGCAGAAGGTCTTGGACAAATTTTGCTGCCGTCTCCATGTCACTGGTGCTAGCTTTGAAAATAGAGTTGGACACGTGGATACAAACGAATAATCAAAAGCACTGCAAAAGCACTGCACTATAAAATGCCAACATGTATTCTGATAATTAAACGTTACAATACGTTGATCTTCATATTTGCCTTAACATAGTCAGTCTCTACCCCATAAGTTTGAAAAAATCGCATTTGTCATATAAGTGTTTTTGGATTTGTTTATTTGTTTGTTTGTTTGTAGTTGTTTTCTGTTGTTGTTGTTGTTGTTGTTTGTTTTTTTCTGGGGTTTTTTGGTTTTGTTTGTTTTGTTATTTTTTTAAAGGGGGGTAGTTTTGGTGGTGGTGGTAGTTGTGATTTTGTTGTTGTTTCTATTTAGTTATCTTTCCATCTCCATGATTCGATGAATGACACTTACCAGTAAACGCTGCAGTTGTCTCCCCTGTTCCAGTGTTTAATCTCTTTGAGTTGTCAGGTCTTGGTGCTGTGTCTGAGCTGTCGATCAGCTCTTCGAATAAGGGAATATTTCCAGCTGCTGACAAAATCACATCACAGTAAATATTGGATGTTATAAATGCCTTTAAATTTTAACCTCAGGAAAACTTAAGATTGCCTTTATCATATATCTTTTTCAATTGTTATGATGAAGGCCGAAATGAATATGTGTGACGCGCTGTCCCGTTAGCAGAGATGGCACAGACCCAGTTTAATGAGCGCACACACGAGACACTGTCAGTATATATTATTACATTCATGGGGGCTCTGCCTGTTGATCATCCTGTATATACTGGTACAGTTCAGAATAATTTATGTCATTTCAGATACAAAGATTAGTGTATCTAGCACTTAATTAAAATTAAGTTTAAACATCTTTCATACATTAAACGTAAAACCACCTGAAGAATGTTATATAAAATATTTGTATTAGCATCGACTTGACATTTCCCAAATGATTATTTTATCTAAATATACAGTGGTCAACATCATTTGTCAACCCTATTTTGACATAATATTATGTTTGATATAATCTATGTTACATACTTTCTATATGCTCTGTACCATATCCGATTGGGAAACAGGCGATTTGGGTTAAGCAGGACACCAAGAAATCTGCAAGCACACAGTAAGGGGAGACAATCAGATCAAGCGCGTACGTAAAGAGTTAAGAGTGTGGCTTCACACTACATCATTTGTAACACGATGTGTCTGCTGTAGGGGCAACCCGGAAGTATAGCGGTCAGAGATGCAGACTGCTACTTTGGGCTGATGCAAGCAGACATGCATCATAACGAAGCGTGTCCTTGACACACACAAACCCGTAGGATCATAAGGGAAGTAACTGTGTATAATGGGGGGGGATTGCATCAAACTTGTCATCTGTAACCCCTTTGTTCGTGTTATCACGAATTAAGACAGAAATATATACCAGACCATTTTCTACCAAAACAACCCCTGTATGCATATATATCTTTGCTATAAACTAATAATGAAAATATTCTTGTTCAATTATCTTTGTATATAAAGCATGCATTAGCAATAAGAGATCTTCTTATAAACGAATTGTATACCCTTAATATATATATATATATGTAAACATCCAAAATATTGCTTTATCACGGTAACTTTCATGTATACTGTGAATAAAACGTTAAGCGCCACCCAGTATATTTTGTCAATATAGGTTGTCTCATAGGAAATGTTTCAGAAAAAAAAATATCATAATTTGGTTTAATACTTTTAGTTTAAAAACAAAACCAATATGGAAATTATCTTTTACTTTAAACAGGATGTATGCGCTTTTGGACAACATGCATTTTGTTTTCCTCAAAAAGGTCTTTTGAAAAGTGAATTATAGCTTGCTTTAAAAATCAGTGCCATCGTATCTTTAACAATATTTCCTTTAATTGTAAATACAAATGTTAATGATATCCCTAAATCAGTTACCAGATGAACCTTCTCTAAATATGGATTGGTCTTCCCGATTATTTTAGCCTAACATTTCCACAGCTTCACATCTTAGTTTTGAAAGAGGCTGGCGCTTAACTTTTTGTTCTCGGTTTCATACAATAAACATCTTTTGACTTCACTTTGACTTTGAGTCCCGCATTGGCACCTAACACTGACCGTTGCCATAGCATTTGCAATCCCCAGGAAGTCTTTTATTACCGAAACAGACAGACATAGAACACACGCCTCCCTTTACTCGTTAATTTCGAATGTATGTCAAGAGACAAAAACTGAAACGAAGCACTTTACATTTCAGACCCCGATCTCAGACACAAAGTGTTATATGATGGAGGAATACAATGGAATCAACAAACAATGTATTAAGCGATGTATAATTTTTACAACTTTATATGTTGTCCGTATTCGTCAAATACTTATTAAATCATGACATATCAGCGCAAACAATAGAAAAGTCATGAAGCGTTAGGCGAGGGACCGTTCATAATTTATGGCTAGGATGGGTGATGATGGTTTGAATGGGTGGTCACCCATATTTTACTGGGGAGGTAGGGGGGCAGGATAATCAGTTTTGTACAAAAGTACTTTGAGGGGGTCATTACATTTGGGACATGATATGCAGAGTCAGGGTCACTTACTTTGTACATAAACCTTAAAGGGGTCATTTAGCATCGTACATGCTTCTCCATAAGAATCATCATCACACACACACCATACACACACCACACACCCACAGCTATAAATTATGAACGGTCCCTAGGATATTTGTAGGCTAAAGAAGCAGAAAACCAGAATATTATTTTGAAAACTTTTGCACAAGCATTACCTAGTTCTCCTTGGGACAGACTCGTGGACGGCTCAGGTTTTTGTGGAAGGTGTGACGTCACTGGTATTAGCTGCGTGACGTGAGGCACTGTTGGCAGCATGTGGAACTGGGGGTTGGTATGTGTGACTTCCATTCTTACTGGTGGTGTATATGTACCTAAATCCGACACTGATTCTGTTTTGACTGGGTTGTTATCCATGTACTTGACGCTTGACTCAGTAGTGACGATCTGACCGTCAATCTGTAACACATTACATATAGTCAGACAATGTTAGTGGCGGTCGGGGCAGTGGGGTAGCGTAGTGGTTAAAGCGTTCGCTCGTCACGCCGAAGACCCGGGGTCGTTTCCCAGATGGGTACAATGTATGAAGCCCATTTCTGGTTTCTTCCGCCGTGATATTGCTGGAATATTGCTAAAAGCGGCGTAAAACGACACTCACTCGGTCTCTTCATGGCAGTCTGGAAACGATTGAAAAGGTGAGCATATCCTGAACAGGTCATCAACAAGTGAATGAGCCAGTTCACTGGTTACACAGGGCGTAAATAATACGTCAAATATGCAAATGTCCGCCATATTTCAACCCTAAAACTCTTTGAAAAGTATGGAAACACTTTTGAGCAACCAAATAAAGAGCACACTCGAGTGTACCTCACATGTGAAGAGCTGACACCAACTGGAGCGACAACGGTTTTGATCGATATGATTAGAAACGACTATTTATTGAAAACACTTGCTTCTGGACTACGCAAGCTAGTGCCTGAACGTGTGAGCATCAACCCATGGCATCGGAGCAGGATGCACACGATACGCAATGTCAACAAGCATGATAGTGATATGCAGAACACTAAAAATAATCTTTCCACGAGGAAAACACGACGATGTCATCTGTGGAGGATATGTAAAGAGCGTGATACATATATATACATATGTGTGTGGGACATGTTTACAAGCTGCAGCAACACAAACTCGGTGAAATATCACCCCATATCCTGATCACTTGTCACGAGTCAGCAGCTACGAACTCATTGTATTTCAACTTCCTCGTCTAAATTTTAACTTAACAAGTCACTGCAGGATTGTTGTAAACACAAAAACAAATTTGATTCTAAGCCTATGCATGGGGATTAAAAAATGCTGTTGTTATTCATAGACTTAATAATAAAACTAAACAACATATCATATGGTCGTCAACAATTACAACCAGTTTGAAATCACAAAAGTTACCTTTGGAAAACCCAACCAGCCCGTTAGCCTCCTAAATCTCGACTGATGAAAAGTGTTCTAGTACAACATACATGTAGAACAATTGAAGTATTAATAGCCAATGTGTGTCTCCTTTCGACAGGGAAATAAATTAAAATGGTAATTTCCAGATAAATAGATAATGGTAACATCTCAGCTGTTTTTATGTTAAACAGTTCGCAGAAAATCCATGATATATTTCCTCAAGTATTGCGAGAAATTGAGTATCCTTAGAAATACGACTGACAATATTCTTGATTATTTCCGACATGTCACGTCGGTGTATAAACAGGATGTAGGTCAGAGGTGCACTACTGCAGGGCAATTGATGAGTGGCGTTTGACATCAAGGACATGCCTGGCAACATTAGAGCTATGGCGGTTTCCTACAGGATGGGCACGCTCAGCTCAGTAGGATTTGCTGTGTTCAGTGAACAGGGAGATTCACACAAAACAATATCCGATGCACAAGGGAAAGAATATATCTAGCTAATAATCATTGAAGAGAGGTCAGGAGAGCAGTTGAAATGTCACCAAAAACATTGCGTTTGACAATATTTTATCAGCGAAAAAATTCGCGAAAACATGATATCAGGATTAATTGTTATTCGTATCGCCAGTATTTAGACTTTACAAAGTTCTTAGCAATCGTTTAAGGATGTTAGTGAGACTTAAAAGACAAACCTAATTTCATATTTAAAACATTCTCGGCTGAAAACATTCGTACGAATCCGACCGGCATAAGCATGGATTATTGTGAAATGCTGATGGTAACATGTGTTCGATAATAGCTGAGCAGATCCTGCACCAACTCAGGCACCAGGTGACAAACAACATTTTTAAGCAACGGGTAAATATTACACAAGCATGGTTAAAACTCATTTACAACTTTAACTTGTGTTTAAGACGTACAGTGTCGGTACGAAAGAGAAACGATGGATCTCATAACTTCAGCTTAAAATGCCAGCCCCATCTCGACAAGGTGTAGGTATACGATAACGTTTAAGCAATAAACCTACGCTTTTACACATAATATCAACATTACCTTGTCTGAATGTACAGCAAGCGTCTAGTCGATGTCGCCCCTGTTTTATAAATACGGAATATTATACTGAGCAGTACTTAACGTTAGGCCATACGGGAAAACACCGCATAGCTATTTTTAGAAAGAAGGAAGTCATGTGCGCTTAAGTGGAAATACAGCCAGTCGTTTTGCTCCACGTCACCGATCGTTTGCTTGGCGAGGAGGTTTCATGAGCCAGTGAGACGCCTGGCTGCAGACAGGGGTTTTCTATGCCCACGTATTAATCGAGTCCAGAGACAGCAGTTTATACAATCTTTGTTTACATATCTGAGATCTGTTTTACAATAATAACCACTTAAGTCACTTAAAATATTATACAGACATTATACCGGCATGGGCTCTGCTATTATACCACATATAAACATAGACATAAACATTGTATGATCCGAAGTTATAAGTGACACGGGTTTCAACCTTGTTACTGCATTCAATATATTTACCGAATGAGGTATTTCCACAACAGAATCAACGAAGCAGATTATTTATTTCTAAAACAATTTACAACTTAGAAATGCTGCAATGCTTTATATAGGTACGTATACTGGACAAAATATGCTAGGGATATTGGTATTTTTATGATTGATAGTTTATCAGTGTGTCAATGAATAAATAGATCATTATTCATAATTTCAAAATTTACGTATATCCCTAACTATTTTTGTCAAGTATAGTTATGTTTGACTTGGGCGTTGGAAGTTATTGTTTACTCGTAGCGGCAGTTTTTTTTAACTGGGCGAGAATGTGAACCTTTCCAGTCTTGTAATTATCATTGCTGTCAATGGTAACTGCTGATATTGTGTAACTTGCTCAAGAAATGTTTCGGGGTATTCTTACGGGGATTTTCATTTTTTTTTCTCCTCATGTTAAAAACTCTGTTTCTTTCTGTTTCGAAACCCATTTTTACACTTGAAATTCTTGATTTTGAATTGAATTCAATGAGACAAATGAGCAATTACTTAAATGTATATGGTGAAACGTAAAACGAATACACAGTCTTGAGAGAGAGAGAGAGAGAGAGAGAGAGAGAGGAGAGAGAGAGAGAGGAGAGAGAGACTTTAGTTTAACGCCGCTTTTCGCAATATTCCAGCAATATCACGGCGGGGAGAATCAGAGGTGCCATGTGGGGAATCAACCCGGGTCTTGGGCGTGATGAGCGAACGCTTTAACCACTAGGCTACTGCACCGCCCTGTGTGTATGTACATGCATATTCCGTTTGGTGTACACAATTTCTGCACGCACACACACACACACACACACAATATTTATGGACATTAAGACAGTACATTGACATTAATGTCTTTCACACAACGATCAGTTGCTTCATTATGTACAGGCCTCTGTGCTGTTGCTGGAATATTGCTGTTAGCAATTAAACCACATTCATAAGTCGCAGGAATTATTTTGACTTTATGGTAGTGTTGTTGAAACAATGGTGACAAGCAAACAGGTATCACACTGAAGCAATCTTAGCGTATTGGACCAGAAAGGCTTACCTCACAAAAGAATAGATATACTGTCCACAGGAAGCAAAATGAGATAAGGGATGCTATTTCATATCTGAGATGACAACATGAAGTCAGTAATTTCGCATGAATATGAAAAGATGATGTGTTGGGACATGTGTGAACGAGCAATGTCGAATTCGACATAGAATATCAGATAAAGACAAAACACCGACGAAGCCATTTCTATAACTGTCAGGAATATTGTCTGAAATCAGGGTTCATTGTGCGATATTGACAATGTCGTAACCCTGCTATGACACATGTCACTATCACATGCTTACGATACTAGGATTTCGGAATCGTCATAAACCCATGCAAAGACACATTACGTCTTCAATTTCTTGTTGTGTTAATTTGTCTTTTCAGTAGAATCAGTTGAAAGTTGAAAATGAACATTTTCGTAATATTGACAATCCACGAACATATTAGTGCTTTGTCATCATTCAAGCAAAGTTCTAAATATATCGGCTTCGAAGTCATCACAATTTCCTGTTGTCGGCAGTGTGTATGTGAGCTGGGAGTAAATCATGCAGTTATTGGCGGGACACAATGTACAATTGACAAACCACACATCCGGCGATTCTTGGAAACTCAGCATGACGAGGGTTCATTCTGAAAATGCGAACTTCATAATTACTGAGTTCTCATAAAAATCAGATATATACACAAAGAACTTAATTAAGCACCCCCTGTACTTTTGCATTGATGGGTTTTCAACACGTAGATAAATCTTGTCGTGGTGACCACGATGGAAGAACATGAGTTTTTCTGACCCGTATGATCCTTTGACTCATAAAGACGGCAATATGATTGGAATCCATGTTGATTTTATGATGATAATTGCTCATTTAAAAAAAACCGCACTGACTTTCATACAAAACCATGTCTGTACAAGTATGGCCCTAGAATGTTTAATGGTGAATTTATTGGTGAATGTGAACATTCGAACTGCCATTTTGCGTTTCTTACACGATTCAAGGTCAATACCGAGTGTAACCTCCATGTGACTGTATGACAGTCATCACTCTCCTCCTCATACCCTCTGACAGCCTCCTGATCCTATGAAGGGCCAGTCAACGCCATTCCTCGTGTAAAGCAGCTTCGAATTGGGCCAAGTTCTGTACAGGACGATCCCTTTGTTGCGCACGGCGACCAATCATGTTCCAGATATGCCCCAAATGGTTAAGATCGGGGCTCATTCAAAAGTGAGATATGTCTAAGTTCTCTGTGTAATTTTATTCCGACCAGGTTTCATGCTTTCCTCTGATTTTCCCCCCAAATCTATTGTCAAAAAGCACGACAATCTGCAAACTCCCTAAGTACAGGATGTAATTTCGGCTTAAACAGTAAAGATCTCCATCCTACCTCCTGTGTAAAGATAAGAAGGAGGATTATACTCACAAGCTTCTGTGAGTGTGAACGCTTACCTATTCTGCATGGTAAAGACTACGAATTGGTCGAAAGATAATTTGCCAGATGTATTCAGTGACTGAGTGAGATTAGTTTTACGCCGCATACAGCAATATTCCAGCTATATAGCGGCGGTCTGTAAATAATCGAGTCTGGACCAGACAGTCCAGTGATCAACAGCGTGAGCATCGATCTGCGCAATTGGCAACCGATGACATGTGTCAACCAAGTCAGCGAGCCTGACCACCCGATCCCGTTAGTCGCCTCTTACGACAAGTATGGGTTACTGAAGGCCAATTCTAACTCGGACCTTCAGGGGTCCAGATGTATTCAGGGCTTTGGCAAACGTTTTTCATCTGCCTATGTGCTACGAAACCTTGGTATTCATAATATAGAGACATCTTACAATTTTCTGTACAAATCAATTCTCAAAATATTGTGAACTCTGTGAAAGACACTGTAATGACTATGACTGCCATTTAATGTACAACAGGAATCAGTTCTTTTCCAAAGTTTTAGATCTTTTTCATGTCAGTGTGTCTGTACAGAATTACTACCAGAGGATGAAATGCTGTCTCTCTTTTCTGGAGGTGAAATACCGGTTATTGAGCACATAGATGAAATGTCATGGAGATGTATGATTGTTCTATTTTGTAAATATCTGTATTCCATGGTATCCTCACTCAAGTGTGTCCTTCAGATCCTCCCTTGCCTTTGCTCTGTACATGTGTGTATCCGCCTTGTAAATATGTTGTTGTGGATATTTGATGTATATATGTATATGATCTTCGGATTGAAATCTGGTGGAAATAAAGATAATCATTCATTCATTATGTTAGGAGTTTTGGCACTTCTTTCAGGCTAAGTCTATGTGGAACGTGGCATACTTTCATATATTTCTGTATGTCTGTCTAGGATTATTTATTTAATACTGATTAACACTACGCGGTTCTGTGACTATTATAGATTGTATATCGTGTATCGTTTACCCTAACTATTACATTACGTTCTGGGCACTCTGCTGTTTTGTGACTATATGAACGCACACTGGGTTGATGTGTAGAATATAGAACTATTGTATTGCGTTGTGATTAATGTGTAACGAATCTACACGTGATGTTTATGTACTTTGACAGCTGATTGCGTTGTGAACATGTTGTAATACTTTATTGTAACCCAACCTTTTATTGACTGATTATGCAAATCATCCTGTGTTATAAACTCTTCGTTTATCTTCTCAGGTCTCGTGTGTTGTGTGTGGTTTGGTATTGTCAACATCATGCCAAGCGAGCTGATTGCCCAACACTCGCGTTTTAGTAGATGTAATGATATGCCAAGTCTTTGTGAAAATGAATTATGGTTTGGAAGGTCTAAACGGTCTTTTGTTTGTTTAACTTGTGTTGTTGTTGTCTTTGTTGTTGCATATTGTGTTTTGTAATTGTTTCCGTTCTTGGGGGTGTCGGGTGGTGGAATGTGTGATACTGTATGTCTATTCTTTGGCTATGCATGTATGATATGGAATGTCTTGTTTTTATTCAAGGCACCTATAGACCGTTATGGCACACACACACACACACACACACACACACACACACACACACACACACACACACACACACACACACACACACACACACGTTCTTAAGCAAGTATATATCATATTATTAAAACGCGAGTTTTGGGGAATCAGCTCGCTTGGCAAGAGGTCTGCCCATACCAACCCACACACAACACAACACCTGAGTAAATAAACAAGGAGTTTATTACACAGCAGTCACTGAACGATTTTACATAATCAGTCAATAATAGCATAGTTTACAATTAATTATTAGAACATGATAAGAATGCAATCAGATATCAAAGTACATAAACATCACATGTAGATTCGTTACACACGACAGATACTACATTAATCACGATACATATTCCAATGTACACAACAATAGTTCAGAACTCTACACATCACCCCAGTGGCGGTTCATACAATCTACATTCTGTAACGGTCCCAAACAGAATATAGTATTCATGCACAACGTAATACAATAGTTAAAATATCCGACACGCTCTATACATTCTATAATAGTCACAAAACAGTGTAGTGTCAATCAGTATGAAATACACAATCCTAAACTGCAATACAGAAGATATGAGACACATACCAAGGGATGCCTCGTTCCACATAAACCTGAAGGTACTGCCAGGGTTGTAACTTATAGTTAAGGTATTTACAA